TGCCTGGGCAACTTATTGAGACACTGTCTCAAAATAATGAAAAGGGCTGGGATATAGTTCAGTGGTGGAGCACTTGGCTAGGAGGCACAATGCCCTGTGTTCAATCCCTATTACAAAAAAAGAAAAAATTGCAAAAACTCTTTGAGTCACCTAGATACCCATCAACAGATGAATGTGTAAAGCAAATGCACGGTGGAGTATTATTCGATCATAAAAAGGAACAAGATTATGTCATTTGCAGGAAGATGCATGGAACTGGATATCATCATGTAAAGCAAGATAAGCCAGACTCAGAATGACAGGTATCACCTGATTTCCCTAACATATGGATTCTAAAAAGAAAAAAAACCCATAAAAGTAGGGAACTTGTTAGACAAGCAAGAGGGAGTTAGGGTTTATAAGGGAGGTTAGAGGAACAAGTATGATCAAAGTATATTCTCTACATGTATGGAAATGCCACAAGGAAACTGATATTTTGTAAAATTAATTTGCACTAACAAAAAGATATATATTGGAAGCAACTCTTGATTCAGATGGAAGGATCTCCTCTTGTCTATTTCTGCATGGTTTCTTTTTTCTCTCCTGTATTGTCAATTTTGCCTTTTCCTACATTAATACCTCTCAGTTTTTTTTTTTTGTCCCAGGACTCCTTTATAATCTTATATATTATTGAAAACTCTTTGCCTTGCACCTGATCTTAGAAGAAAAAGCATTCAACTTTTGTGCATTGAATATGTTGTTATCTATTTTTTTTTTGAGATTTCCTTCTTGGAGTTGAGAAAGTTTGCTTCTATTCCTAGTTTGCTGAGAGATTTTAGTGGGACTAGATAATTAGATTTTGTCAAATACTTTCTCTGCATCTATTAAAATAAACACGAGTTTTTTAATCTATTAATATGGTACATTATATTGATTGATTTTCAAATGTTAAAGCATCCCTGTGGTAATTTTACTAGCTTGTGACATGTTACCCTTTTTATGTATTGTTGTATTTGATTTGTTAGAATTTTTACATTTATGTTTATGAGAGATATTTATTTATTTATTTATTTCAGTACTGGGGATCAAACTCAGGACCTTGCACTTGCAAGGCAGGAGCGGTGCCACTGAGCTAACTAAATCCCTGGCTCCTGAGAGATATTTATGTTATCTTCAGTGTTTTGTTTTGCTTGTAATATCTTTGTTTTGTTTTGTTTTTAGACAGGGTCTTGCTACGTAGTCCAGGCTGATCCTGAACTCATTAGGTGGCTAAGACTGGCCTCAAACTAATGGCGATCCTCCTGCCTCAGACTCCTGAATACTGGGATTACAGTTGTGCACCACCATGCCGTGCATGTCTTTGTTTGTTCCACTGTTAGGTATATACACAAAAGAATTGAAAACTGGAACTAAACATATATAGGAATGTTATTTACAACATTATGATCAATAATCAATAGGTAGGGGCCGGGAATTTAGGTCAGTGGTTCTGCTGCCTGCCTCACAAACGCAAGGACCTGAGTTTGACCCCTGGTACCAAAAAACAAACAAATTTTTAAAAAACAAAAAATAATAGGTAGAGTCAGGGGTAGTGGTGCTGAGGCAGGAAGATTCTCATGGATTTACAGAGTGAGACTCAATATCAAAAAAAAAATAAATCAATAGATAGAAACAACCCAAGTATCAAACTCAGGTATGATTTGATTTGGCTTGGTTTGGTTTGTTTTGAGCCAGGGTGTCACTCTGTATAGTTCAGGATATCCTTGAGCTAACTATGTGGCCCAGGCTGGCCTTGAACTCACAGCAATCCTCCTGCTTCAGGCTTCGAAGTCCTGGGATTACAGATGTCCACCACCTAGCCCAGCCGGCTATGGTTTTTTTAGTGATCCAGAAAATCTTGATAAATATTTTATGTAACTTAGAAAATGTATTCTGCCATTGTTAAAAAAAAAAGAAAGACAATATATTCTGCCATTGTTGAGTGGAATATTCTATACATGTCAATCAGGTCAAGCAGATTTATAGTGTTACATTATAAATCCTTATTAATTTTCTGTTTATGAATTATTTACTTATTTTTTACCTTTTTCTCAGATTTATTTTCTCTAAATTTAAAAAAAGTTATTTAGGACAGCTGAGACACAGGGATAGCAAGTTCAAGGCCAGCTTGGGTAGCATAGCAAGTTCAAGGCTGGCCTGAACTACATAACAAGAACCTGTCTCAAAAAACAAAGCAAAAGCTAGGCATGGTGAGGCACACCTGTAATCCCAGCACTCACTGAGGCAGGAGGATCACTGTGAGATTGTGGCCAGCCTGGGCTACATAATGAGTTCAAAACCAGCCTGAACAAAAACAAAACAAAAAATAATTTAAAAATTATCATTATTATTATTATTATTTTTTTTTTTTTGGCTTTTTGAGATAGGGTCTCACTATGTAGCTCAGGCTGGTTTAGAACTCACAGTGATCCTCCTGTCTCAGCCTCTCCCTAGTGCTGGGATTACAGGCATGCACCTCCCTGCCTGGCTCCAAAATAATTATTTAATATTATTTTTAACTATAAAATAAGTGTCTATATTTATGGAGTACCATGTGATGTTTTGATATATTTTTAAAAGGTAGAATGGTCAAATCAGGCTAATTAACAAATTCATTACCTCACATAGTATTTTTCTGTGTATGGTAGAAATATTTGAAATTATTCTTTTAGCAATTTTGAAATATACAATGCATTATTATTTATTATAGTTACCATTGTGTGCACTACATCACTTTAAATGTCTAACTGAAGCTTTGTACTCTTTGATCAGCATCTCCATTTCCCCACCCACCCACCCTCCTCCTCCAGCCCCTGGTGCCCATTATTCTACTGTCCATTTCTATGGGTTTGGTCTTTTCAGAGTCATGAAAGTGAAATTGTGTGGCATTTGTCTTTCTCTGGCAGGCTTATTTCATTAGTATAGTGTCCTCCAGGTTCATGTATATTGTTGCAAATGACAGCAGCTCCCCTTTTAGGGCTGAAGAGTATTCCTTTGCATAAATATTCCACATTTTCCTTGTCATCTGAGGATGGACTCCTTCGTGGGTTCCATGTCTTGGCTGAATAATGCTGTGATGATATCTAAGTGCAGATATCTATATGTACTGAATTTAATTCATTTGGATATATATACCTAGAAATGGGATCAGTGGATGGTATGACAATTGTATTTTTAGTTTGCTGAGTGACCCCTGTGGTGTTTTCCTTACTAACTGTATTATTTTACATTCCCACCACTAGTGCACATAAAGCTTTCCTTTTCACCACACCCTTGCCAACTTTTGCTGTCTTTTATTTTTTTCATAATAGCCATTCTAACAGGTGTGATGTGGTATCCTATGATAGCTTTTATTTGCATTTCCCTGGTGATAAGTGATGATGAACATTTTTGCATATATCAGTTGGGGTTTTTTTTGGTACTGGGGATCGAACTCAGGACCTTGTGCTTGTAAGGCAGGTGGCGGCACAACTGAGCTAAATTTCAGGCCCAGTTGGCTATTTTTTATGTATGTTTGTTTGTGTTTGTTTGTTTGTTGGTACAGGGATCAAACTCAGGACCTTGCCCTTACTGGCAGGCAGCAGAACCACTGAGCTAGATCCCCAGCCCTGTTTGTTTTTGTTTTTGAGACAGGGTGTTGCTGTGTAGTTCAGGCTGGCCTCAACTCACAGCATCCTCCCCAGTTCTGTGATTACAGGCATGTGCCACCACACCTGGCTCAGTTGGCTATTTTTATGTTTTTTGAGAAATGTTTGTTTGGGTCCTTTGAGTCTTTTGTTCGTTTGTTTGTTTTCACTGCTGGGGATTGAACCACCCAGGGCCTCACACATGCTAGGCAAGCGTTCTACCACTGTTCTATATTCCCAGGCCCTTTGGGCACTTTTGCCCACTTTTGATTAAGTTACTGTATTTGGGTATTTTGATTTTTGGGTTTTTTGCCTGTTGAGTTCACTCTATTAAATGTTTTCTTTACTGCACAGAGCTTTTTAGTTTTGCTCTTGTTGCCTGTGCTAATCTATTAATTGCTGAGAGATGGATTTTGTCCTTTATTTTATTGATATGGTAGATTGCATTAATTGATTTTCCAGTGTTAAATCAACCTAGCTTTCCTGGGATAAATCCTTCCTGGTCACATTGTATAACACTTTTTGTATTCTATTTGTTAGTATTTTGTTAATATCTTTCTGCCCAGACTGTCTGATATTGTCTCTCCCAGATGTTTTTACCTTAGAGAAGTCCATAAATGAGACAAATATTATTAAAGTAAAATTTTGATGTTTTTATATTCTTTCTTTCTTTCTTTGTTAGTATTTTTGAGACAGAATCTTGCTGTGTAGCCAGGCTGGCCTCGAATTAGCAGCAATCCTCTTGCCTCAGCCTCCCAAGTAGTGGGATTATAGGCATCTACCACTGTGCCAGGCTTTGATGTATATTTTTGCAAATTATCTATCTATCTATCTATCTATCTATTGTTTATTTGTTTCACAGTGTTGGGAATCAAACCTAGGGCCTTGTGTGCTGAATTACATCCTAGCCCTGTTCATGTTTTTTTTTGGTTTTGGTACCAGGGATTGAACTCAGGTCCTTGCACTTGCAAGGCAGGCAGCAGAACCACTGCGCTAAATCCCTGGCTTTGTTCGTACTTTTTAACTAACTTAATGATATTATAAGTTTTTTCTATATCAGTAAAATTAATTACAACAAACCATTTATTGTATAATAGTAACATAATGTGTGGAGTATGATTTATTTAAGACCCTATGGAATATTTAATTTATTAGTAATTGTAGTCTGTTATAAATATGCCAGGATATGTATTCTTATACCCAAATCATTGTGCATATCTTTATTTTCTTGAGAAAACAAGTAAAATTATTAGATCAGAGAGTACGTATGTTGTTTGAGCCTTTCCTCCTCCCATCCTCTGGTTTTGAAACCTTTAACATGAGCCTTGGGGATTAACGGGAATCTTATCATTTCAGCATTTAGGTCTAAAGAAGACAGTGTCTCTCTCTGACATCAATATTTCTCAGATGTTAAAGAAAGATTCAAATGCAGGGCATCTTATTGGTGATTTCTCCAAGGTGAGTTTGATTATACTCATTTCATTCATTCATTCATTTGTTCAATTGTTTGTTCATTCATTTATATTTTGCAGTGCTGGAGATCAAACCCAGAGTCTTGTACATACTAGGCAACCACTCTACCACTGAACTACATCCCCAGGCCCTTTTTTTTTTTTTTTAATTATTTTGAGATAGGGTCTTGCTTTGCCCAGGCTGGCCTTGAACTTGCAATCCTCCTTCCTCCCCCTCCCATGTAAACTGACATTACAGACATGTACCACCATGCCTGGCTTCATCTCATTCATCCATCCATCTATCTATTTATCTAGCTATCTGTCTATTTATCTAAGACAGGGTCTCACTATGTAGTTCAGGCTGGCTTTGAACTCACTATGTAGCTCAGGATGGCCTTAAACTCATGGTGATCTTCCTGCCTCAGCCTCCCACATGTTGGCTTTATAGGAATGTGCCACCACACCTAACAATCTCATCATTTTAAATAACTGTGTATTATTTGATAATTTGGGAGCTGCTCATAATTTCTTTATAAGGTTCATCTTATAATTTTATAATCCCATTTTATGAATTTTCCTTATGAACAAGATGGACATATTTGTAATGCTATCTAAAACCTTATGACATCCTTGATTAATTCCTTAGGATCAGTGTTTAGAAACAGTTGTTACATATGTATATCATAGAGACCACTGATTTTTGAAAGCTTCTGGGATTTTAAGAGTCATTTGGAAATGACAATAAATGGGTCTTTGATCTCAAGCTTGGGTGAGGAATTTTTGCTATTATTTCAGCTCTTGGGTATTTCTAGGTATGTGCACTGCCAACCGTACCAGGGAGACACCAAGATCTGAAGTACGTCAACCCAGAAACAGTAAGCAGATTTCTGGAGATGGTAGCTGATTACATAAGCTGCCATCTGGTCTGTTCTGTCCCTAACATCCCTGCGGCCATTTTTATTTCTTTCACTGCATTCACTCATGCAAGCTCCTCATTCAGGCTATTTTAAAGGTCTTCATTTTATCTATTTTTCTGTCTTTTTAAATCTTTAAACAAATGATATATATTTGTCTTAAAAAGAGAAAGAAGGAAGGAGAGAGTGAAGGAATGGTGCAAAAACACGAAAAGGAAAAATCAACTAGGGTCTCAATTAAGGAAACCATAAATTCCAGTTTACATGTTACAGTCTCCTTTATACCTGTTAGTGAAGATAATTATTTGTTTGGTTGGGTTTTTTTTGGTAATGGGGATCGAACTTGGGTCCTTGCGCTTGCGCAGCAGGTGATGAGACTACTGAGCTAAATCCCCAGCCCTGTGAAGATAATTATTATTTTGTTTTGTTTTGTTTTGGTACCAGGGATCGAACTCGGGACCTTGCACTTTCAAGGCAGGCTCTGGAACCACTGAGCTAAATCCCCAGCCCCAAGATAATTATTAATAATGTTCTCTTTCACTCTCAAAAGTCTCCCAGTTTGTACAGTAATCGTATGGTTGCCTTAACCAAAAGCTTGCTACCAGAGATAACCATTAGTGCTATTTTCCTTGTGACCATGCAGATTTTACTCTAATTACAGTTTTGTAAAACTGCGATCACGATGAACATGTAGTCTTGCAATTAAATTACTAAAATATTGTAAGCCCCAGTACCCTCCCACACGCAGACTTTCTCTATCAATAAAAATATATCTACAGGGCTGGGGATTTAGCTCAGTGGTTTCACTGCCTGCTGCGCAAGCACAAGGACCCGAGTTCGATCCCCAGTACCAAAACATATATATATCTACATTATCCTTTTCTTCTGGGTTTTTTTTTTTTTGGTACCAGGGATCAAACTCGGGACCTCGCGCTTGCAAGGCAGGCTGACGGAACCACTGAGCTAAATCTCCAACCCTGGCCCTTCTGTTTTTTTGAGAAAGAGTTTCATTGTGTGGCCCAGGCTGGCCTTGAACTTACTATGTTGAATTCATGCCCACTTACACTATCATTTTAATGGTTTTATAATATTCTGTTTTGCTGACATGTATTATTTAATCAAACTCCTCTTATTAAATATTTACTTAAATCTAAAACAGTGCTGAGACTAATGTCAAATTGTACCCACATCATTGCATACTATTAAGTACACTGTACTTTAGATGTTAGAAAAGAAATTGTGAGTCAAAGTATAGTTACTTTGGTTTTTTTTTTTTTTTTGGTACCAGGGATCAAACTTGGGACCTTGCTGTTGCAAGGCAGGTGCCGGAACCACTGAGCTAAATCCCTGGCTGGTGTTTTGTTTTTTTTTTTCTGATGTTTTTGTTTTTTATGGTACTAGAGATTGAACCCAGAACTTTCACACTGAGCCAAATCCCCAACCCCATTTTAAAAATTTTAAAAATTTAAGACAGGATCTCATTAAGTTGCCCAAGCTGGACTTGAATTTGCAGTCCTCTTCATTCAGCCTCCCAGAGTGCTCAGATCACATGGGTCTTCCACCACTCCCAGCTATAATTACTTTTTTTTTTCTTTTTTCTGGTACTGGGGATCGAACTTAGGACCTTGCACTTGAGAGACAGGCAGTGGGACCCCTGAGCTAAATTCCCAGTCCTAATTACTTTTTTTTCTGAACCAGGGTCTCAAATGTAGCTCAGGCTGGCCTCAAACTCATGGCAATGCTCCTGCCTCAGCTTTCCTAGTACTGGGATTACCGGCATGTGCCATAATGACCAGCTGTACATTTATTTTTACATGTTTTACAAAGTTCCTTCCAGAAAGCCTGAACCAATTTATACTTGTACAAGTAGATTAAATTTCCTCCTCTAGCTGTCAGCTCTTTCCTTCCATATCTTTCTTTGAAAAATTTACTTTTTTGTCTGTGTGTGTGTGTGTATGTGTGTGTGTGTGTGTGTGTGTTACTGAAGATTAAACCCAGGGCCTTAATACTGAACTACATACCTGGCCCTTTATTTTAATTTATTTATTTTGGGTTTTTTGAGAGATAAGGTCTCACTCTGTAATTCAGGCTGGCCTTGAACTCATTATGTAGCTCAGGCTAGCCTCAAATTCATGGTGATGCTCCTGCATCAGCCTCTTAAGTTCAGGGATTACAGGAACATGCCTGGGTCATACTTAGCCCTTTTTTAAAAAAAAAAATTTTTTTTTTTTTGAGACAGGGTCTCCCTAAGTCCTAAATTGCCAGCCTAGGCTCAAACTTGTGATTCCCCTGACTCATGCACCCAGAGTGCTGGGATTATAGGCATGTACCATCACACTTGGCAAGACTTGCATCTGCCTTATGTGTCTGCCTGCCTGTCTGCCTATCAGTCAGTGTAACCCTGAGATCAAACCCAGGTCTTTGCACTTACTTTTTTTCATGATGGTGGGTAGAGACCCATTTCTCACCTTTTGTAAAATTGGGATTGCTACCTGTGCCACTGGGCAAGTCCGTGATGTCTCCCGGAGCCTGATTTCAGCCAAGCCTGCCTCCAGAGGGGTAGCCTTCAAAGACGTCTTCCTTGTTCTTGCAATACCAGCCATTTGGGTTCTCTACAAATGCCACTTCCGCTTCATCCGCTTATGTGGGGTGGGGCTGAGCCAATGCCACACTTCAAATGCAGGTGGACTTTGGATGCTGTGTGTAGAGGGGCATCCTGTGTGACTAATGAGAGTGTGCACATGAGTGGCTCTCTTCTCTCTTGAGGTGACAGTGAGCAGGGTATTCAGTGATTGTTTCTGTGCAGGTGGCTGCCTTACTGTCTGGAGAGTTCCAGGATCTGATTGAGAAGTTTTATATCATTGATTGCCGCTACCCATATGAGTACCTAGGAGGACACATCCAGGTGAGGCTCTGCTGTGGACCCTAGCAGGAGAGGGGCTAGAAGTGGTTCCTTGTTGAGAAAAGTGAGGACAAAAGGTCCTGGGAAGCCTAGAACTAGGGCAGAGATTCTATATTTGGAACACATCAAGGCTGAAGTCCTTATTCCCATTTAAATTCTGTATACCTTAAATAGGATACTTTCCCTTCCCCTCCTTGAGCAATCTTCTTTTCTATAGGAGCCAAGTTCTCCTCCCTGGAAATCCAAACATTATTCCAAGGACTGAGAAGCAATCTGCAAGCACTGCTCATGGACATTGCTCACAATGATCCCTTCATTCCAGGTGGCTCAACTCTGTGAATGTTTATTGAGCATTTGCTATGCACCAAGCTGTAGGTTAGGCCCTGTGGGTAGAAACAGAGCTAGATACATTGGGTCTTGCCTTGAAAATCCTTATCAGTTTTTCTGGCCTAAATATCCCAGGACAGTATCCCAATCATTTCTAAGTACAGTAGGTCCCCAACTTACTAATGAGTTCTGTTCTGGGAGAGTGTTCATAAGTCAGATTCATTCATATCGGACAAAATGAGTCTTGTACAGTACCCCTGTGATTCCGATACAGTACACCTGTGAAAGTTGCTACTCGAATGTTTGTAAGTCAGGGACTTACTGTATTCACATTATACACAGGCCCTTCAGAGAATGCTTATTAAAATTATTCTTCTACAGGGAGCCTTAAACTTGTATAGTCAGAAAGAATTATATGACTTTTTTCTGAAGAGGCCCATTATTCCCTTGGACATCCAAAAAAGAATAATCATCGTGTTCCACTGTGAATTCTCCTCCAAGAGGGGCCCCCGAATGTGAGTGTCCATATGGGCTTGGGTGGGTGTTGGAAATGGCAGAAATGGATCTTTTTTCCCCTGGTATTGGAGATGAAATTCAGGACCTTGTGCTTGGCAGGCAGGTGTGGTGCCGCTGAGCTACATCCCCAGCCCCTTTTTGTTTATTTTTGAGATAGGGTCTCACTATGTAGTTCAGGCTGGCTTGAACTCACTATGTTGCCCAGGCTGGCCTTGAACTCCCAGTGATCCTCCTATCTCAGCCTTCTGAGTGTTGGGATTTCAGGTGTGCACCACTATGCCTGGCGGAAATGGCTCTTGAGTCAGAGTTCAGACAGACTCAGAAAGAATGCACTCCATTATAATTTGAAGAATGTTAGGAAGGATGAAGGGAGGTATTTTTATAATTCAAAAGCTTAGAGCAGTAAAGGAAAAAGAATTGGGAATGAGGCTTCAGTGGAGGAAAGGAGAAAGAGGGGTGCTGTTGGGGCCTTTGCACACACAATAATATCTGAAGGCTCCCACTCCTGCAGTGCTGTTTGTTGAACATACTAGGGAAATGCTCTACTGCTGAGCTACTTTCCAGGCCCAGGGTCCTTTTGGGCATTATCAATAGTCTTTTCTTCCCCTCCTCCCCAGGAAGCTTGGGTTCCTGATCTTGCTTCCTTTGCACTCTCATCCCTGGATTTTCTCTGAAGGTGCCGCTCTCTGAGAGAAGAGGACAGGGCTCTCAACCAGTACCCTGCCTTGTACTACCCAGAGCTGTATATCCTCCAAGGGGGCTACAGAGACTTCTTCCTGGAATATAAGGTAAAGGATGGGGCATGGGAGAGCCTAGACTTGAGGGAGCCTCAGCATGGCTGTTATACTTAGCAGGCAGAGTTCTGGAGCTAAAGGATCCCTTTCTCTGTCCTCTACCTCTCAGGAGCTGTGTGAACCTCGGAGCTACTGCCCTATGCATCACCAGGACCACCAGGCTGAGCTGCTGAGGTGTCAAAGCCAGAGCAAAGCACAGGAGGAGGAGCAGCAGCTGCGGGAGCAGATTACCCTCCTGATGAAGGACATGGTCTTGCTGTAGTGGGACTGGCCACTGGCAGCCAGGGGGTCACCAATAGACACCATAGAGATGCTGAGCAGAAAGAGGCCATCTTCTATACACCTGAACCCAAGATTGTTTTTTTTTTTTGGTACTGGGGATCGAACTCAGGTCCTTGCGCTTGCACAGCAGGCAGCGAAACCACTGAGCTAAATCCCCATCCCCACAAGATTGTTTTTTAAAAGATGTCTGCAAACCAGCTGGGTGTGGTGGCTCATTTCTGTAACCTCAGCACTTGTGAGGCTGAGGCAGGAAAATTACTACAAATTAGAGGCCAACCTGGGCTACATAGCAAGACCCTGTCTCAGAAAAACCGAGAAGAATCTCTGTAAACCAACGGGCTACTACACTAATGAAATCCTGGGACTTGGGATTGGTTAGGTTATAGTAGAGGTACCAACTGGTGGCCAGTGAGGGATACTTTTAGGCGAGCCATACCCCAGCTCTAGAAGGCTGTCACCTTGACTTACATAGAGAGTTGTGTTGCTTCAGGGAGCTTTTAAATTGCTCCTCTCAATTTCTTGTGTCTTTTCACAAGCTAGACAGGTCTTTCTCTCTCTGGGCTTCTGATTGTGAGAAAGAGTTGCCCAGGTTCTTTCCGTTTTCCATTTTATGGGAAAGTAACCGTTACAGAATAAGGAGTACAATTGCCCGCCCAGTTTCCTCCTAGAAGACCTGTATTTGGTCATCACCAAACCAGACTCCTTTCAGGGGCTGCGGGTAGAGCTCAGTGTAGAGCACTTGCCCCAACATTCATGAGTTCCTGGGGTCCATCCCCAGCACCACCGCCCCAAGAGTCCAGGACTTGGGAAGGATGAAGCACTCTGAAACCCAGAATAGAAGAGGCAAAAATAACCTCTTCCCAGGTTCTAGAGCAGAAACTTCTTAAAAGTGAGTGGGCAGGAAGGAGGGCTGTAGCCACAGGGCAGCTGACACCCACGCTTTGAGGAACACGACACCTGGTCTGCTGGTCTCCCTTTGCAAGGTTCTCTTGTGGTCTTGCCCTGGAGTGCTGTGCTCAGGCCTCACAGCAGAGGGCGCTGTTGTCTTCTGTAAGATTACCAGCTGGCACGAGCACCCTCACTCCTAGCTGCTGCCTCCCTGGTCAGCTCCCTAATCAGCAGAGCTAGGAGCTCAGCTGGCGGGCGGGGGAGCTGCGGCTACTTTAGGCGGAGCACGCTGAAGGGGAAAAGCTCCGCTCCAGTAGCACGTGTCCGCTTTCCGCCCAAGCAGGAATTAGGGGTAGCCTGGAAGAAACCACAAGGACGAGTCCCAGACCCACTGCCTTCTCTGGCGGGTCATAATTCTCCCCAGAAAGGTGGAATCTAGACCTGACCTAGTAGGAGATTGTATCCAGGTGCTCACATTTCAGATATCTTAAGTGAAAGCTCTGAGTTGTAAAACAAAGAGCAGGCTTATTCACTTTATGAAAAGCTGTATTTGCCTAAAAGGCAACATTTTCCCATGTTATTTCATGTAATCTTTTTTTTTTTTTTAAGGGGGCCCCAGGGGTTGAATCCAAGGCTTCCCATTATACTAAGCCAACACTATCACTAAGCTGCATCCCCAGCCCTCCCATGTGATATTTTATGATATTGTCTCACTGTATAAGAACTGTGTGATTTATGTTATTTTCAGGAATAATATAGTAACTAGTACTTCTCGGGTATTTACTGCATATAAGACTTTCTAAACTAATATATTAATTTTCATAAACACCTCGTATTGCAGATATTTATTATGTACATTTCTTTATGAAGGTAATGAAATTGAGGAACAGAGCGTTTAAGTACTTTAAGACTACATATCTAGGCAGGCATTATGGCCTACAAAGTACAGTGTGCTTGGAGCCAGGCGTAGTGGTAATCCCAGTATTTAGGAGGCTGAGGCAGGAGAATTACCACAAGTTCAAGGACAGCCTTGGCTACATAGTTGAGTTCAAAGCTGGGCTTAATAATGTAGTGAGACCCTGTCTTAAAAAAAACAACAAAAGCCAGTGTCCCTTTCTAGAGTTGGCAATGTATTGGATGTTAAGTCTTTCCACAACTCAATTAAAAAAAATTTTTTTTGATACACTCTCACTAAGTTGCTAAGTTTCTCAGGCTGAGCTTGAACTTGTGATTCTCCTGCCTCAGCCACTATACTCAGGTGGCTACTTAAGTAGCCAAAATTACACGCCCATCACATCTGGCTAGTTGCAGGTGTTTGAGAAGTCAGGAGCATAAAGGTGGCTTGAGCTTGGAAGATAAGGTCAGAGGCACTAGCATATGGCTCTGACAAGGTTCTCATTGGTGCCCCTCAGTGTACTGGTAGTTATCATGAGGTCAAATAATGAATGGAAATCTTGCTGGGCATGGTGGCACAACCCTGTAATTCAGCATTCAGAAGCCTGAGGCAGGAGGATTATTGGGAGCTTGAGGCCACTCTGGGCTACATAGTGAGATCCTGCCTCAAAAACAAAAACAAAAAAACCTTAAAAAACTGACATAGCTCAGTGATAGAGTGCTTGTCTAGCATGCATGTGGCTGTGGGTTGATCCTCAGTACTGCAAAACATATATACAAAAAAACGTTACCAATCTCATCCCGGTACCTAGCTGACCTTATCAGGAATATATAGCAGGCATGAAATATTCTCTCTGTTCTATGCAGGCAAAAAATATATATGTATCTATATATATATATATCTGGGGTTCTCAATTCTCAGTCACTACAGGTATTCAGATGTGACACAATTGCTGCCCTTAAAACACAAGATAGAAAGAGATTCCCTTTATTACCATCTTTACAAGCACTCTGGCCCACTAATATTCAGCTAAGATTCAGCAAAGGGAAGGAATACTGCAACTTCTAGCTCCAAATCTGCAGGTCAAGTGGTGGGGTCTGGCCAAGTTCATAGAACAATCCCTACATTCCGCCTGAGATGATAGTATTTGTCCAGCCCATTTGCTATGTTGCAGGCACTATGTTATATGATATACCTAATATATTCTTATTAATGCTTATAACTATTACATGAAACAGATACTGTTTTTCCTAATCTTACAGATGAAGAAATGGAAGATGAGAGCAATTAAGTGACTTACTCAGAGTTGCCCAGGAAGTATTGGAGATGAACCTAGGCAATCTGGAAAGCTTGTGGTCCTAGCTATTTTGCTGTCATCCTAGTTTAGGATAGCAGCAAGAATTAAGGCTCAGCAGGAAGAAAGTGCCTGAGAGAAGGAGCAATCCATATAGCCTAACCATAAGTAGAAGAAAAACATTGCAAATGAAAGTACAGTAAGGCACAGGGACTTTGGACCCATTAGCCCCAATCAGTAGATTGCCCTCCCAGGGCAGGGTTTTGTGTCTCAGTCATTTTGCATCTACCACAAAGCTGGACACTGGGTTGAATGAGGCTGAGTAGCATCATCTTTGTAGACAGGATGGGCTCTTTTGTCATTATCCACAAGGGTGCGGGAGGCAGCGCTGCTTACCCAGGAGGCATTGGCAGTCCCAGAAGGCGTGGCTGGAGGGGAGAGGGCATGCTAGAGAACTGTCAGTATTAGTTTTGGAGTCATGTTTATTTACAGAGGCTTCCTCCACCCTCTCCTAGTCTTGGTTACCAATCCTCATTAAAAGCCCAATGATGTCAGCCTCTCCACCCTAAAGCTGAAACAGAAACAATGCTCGAGGCACCTGGACTGTCACAAAAAGGCTGGCCCTCCTGCAGGTAGAATAGGGCCTTGCTCCCAGCTGCTTGGCTTGACCTGGTGCCTGCATTTTGGTCCTTTCCACGTCGGCAGCTTTGGATCAACACTGAGTAGGCAGCCTCCTACCAAGACTTTGACCTGGCTTGTTTGATGGAGGAAGGGGATACACTTTGGCCACACCACATCTTTGCGGGTTTGTGGGCCTTTGCACTTCCCTTGTATTTTAACCACCTGCTTTGTAAATTTATTTTGAAACTATTGCCAGAATGGAGTGGAAAGTTGAGGCCATCAGCTCCCCAGCTATAGGTTTCCCAATCACACTAAAGGAGAAGGCTTGGGAAAGGTACATAAAGTAGGGTGAGCTGGCAGAAAACAGACCCTGTACAATAGCTGGGGAGCCAGATGTTCACTTTCACAGCTCTCCTGTAAAACTGACAGGCCAGATATAGATTAAAACGAAGCACAAACTCCATTTAACGTGCATTACAGCTCAGGAACCGGCTCCCCCAGGCAGGAGAAGGGAGGGAGGGGCACAGAGGCCACATCAAGTCTCCTTCCTTATCTAGGGCCACATGTCTCTCTACTAGCTTTGTGAAGGGTGATTTACACCCCTGGCTGGAATGACTCTCTTTCTCGGCTGATTACATCTGCAAATGCCCCCCAGAGGCCACAGCAGGATGGCCATGTTCAGAAGCAGCAGCCAATAAATCTGAGAGGTTTATATTGCAGCTCACAGTACCCTTACCCTGGCCCTCTGCCAGGCCACTGTGAAAGCAAGGAGTGGCCCCAAATCCGGGGGTTAGGGGATGGAACCCCAGCCTGCTTTCATCATGCTCATTTCTCTCTCTAGGTACCACTTGCTTCTCATCCTTCCAAGCCATTCTGGAAGCTGGTGGGAATCTGGCTCAGGCCCAATAAAGCCCTTATCCTTGTGGGCAGACATCCTGGATGCTGGGCACAATGTGTTTCTACCCAGTTTAATCCTGATAGAGTAGCTCGCTCTCTGAAACTCTGATCATCTGAAAATGATGGGTTTCCTAAATAGTTATCTTTGGTCCAGGAAAATCCCTGCTATTTGTATGTGTATGTGTGTTAGGTGTGAGAGGTCCTAACCTCCCTGGTGACACCAAAGAAAGTGAATTTTAGTGGGCCGGGGATTTAGCTCAGTGATTTTGCCGCCTGCTGCGCAAGCGCAAGGACCCGAGTTCGATCCCCGATTCAAAAAAAAAAAAAAAAACCGGAAGTAATTTTAGTGCAGTCAAGTCTGGTGAAGCTCCTGGGGTCTTACTCAGTCACGCTTCTTTCATCAAAGTAGTTTCACCAGCTTTGCAGAATCTTGATTTTAATAACCACCATAGACTCTTACCTTTGAAGATACTTTTACAGCAAGGGACAAATGAGACCACAGACGCAGATTCTAAGGAAAAAAATACTCAAAATTCAAGTACGCTTATGATAGTTCAAATTTTGTTACAAGATTTCGTTTGTTGTGGTTGCCCTTCCTGGGGGAGGGGGTTCCACAAGGTGAGAAAGGGGGCTTAGGGCTGGGGATTTAGCTCAGTGGTTCCGCCGCTTGCTGCCTGCCTAGCAAGCGCAAGGTCATGAGTTCAATCCCCGGTACCAAAAAAAAAAAAAAAAACATTGTGAGAAAGGGGGTTTATTTTTGAGAACTATTGGACTCCGGGGATGGCGAGGGTCCCGCGGCAGCTCCCCAGCCTTGCTAAGGGCGGTTGGCCGCAGGCGGCAGGTGGGCACACTGGGTGCCGCCCCCTCCCGCTGCGCCTGTCCCGAGCCCGAGGCGGCGAGGTGCGGCCGCGCGCCCGGAGTTGGAGGGCGGCGCCGGGGACCCTGGTGGGAGAGTGGCGGCGCCGCGCGGGGGGCGGGCTGGAAGCGGCGGTGGGAGGCGCCGGCCCGAGAGCCCAGGGGGCTGGACTCGCGCTCCGGCAGCCAGAGGACCCGGCCAGCCGGCGCAGGCAGGGCGCCCTCGGGCTGGACACGGGCACCCACCCGCCATGGTGCGCGCCCCAAGCCCGCCACCGCCACTGCCGGTGGTCCCGCTGCTGCTGCTGCTGTCGCTGCCGCTCGGAGCCGGTGAGTGTAGCCAGTGCGCATGGTCGGACCGGCTGGGGCTGGAGGGGCAGGTGGAGGTGAGCGTGGAGGCGGGGCCCGGGAGCTGCTGTCCCAAGTGGGGACGACCTAGAGGAGGAAGCCTAGTGTGCCAGGAAGGGGCTGCGTTCCGTGCCTGATCCTGGGTCTGTCCCTCGAGTCCCAGTGACGGCCTGGGCATCCGAGGATCTCCGTTCTCTCGGTTCCCCTCTTCCCTCTTGGCGGTGCATCTACCGGTCCCAGAGCATCCCGCAGCCAGGCCGCAACCAGACAGCAGCTCTCGAAGGCGAAGGCGAGGAGCATCGGATCAGAAGCAGGACTGCCATTTGCTCCCCGTGACCTTCAGTTCCTCTACCCCTGCAACTTTTCCATCCCCTTGAAAGGACGAAAGAAGAGGTGGAGATGAAGAAAGACAAAGAGAAGAAAGCTGTTAGCACTGACTGTCACAAACTAGGGCTGTACCTGCCCAGAACTCACCCCCAGCACCATCTGGTGTAGAGAAACTCCCTCCTGGGCAGGGCCCTCTCCCCTGCCAGCTGCCCAATACAGCACATATATTGCCCTGTGGCTGACCAGTTCACAGTGGGTGTTTTGGGGAACCCTGATTTTAGAGCTAGACTCATTCCCTGTGGAAGAACAGCCTGAGAGCCAGCAGCCCTGGAAAAGTGCCCATGGCTTTGGGCAGTGGGATAGATGCATAGAATTGCATAGTGCAGCTTCTGCCAGAGCTGGAATGAAGAGAATCCTGAGGCAGAGACCATACACGTTACCCACTTCCTTTCTTTCACAAGATGGTACTACAGAAATACAACTGCGGAGCCAGGTGTGGTGGTGCACATCTGTAAGCCCAGCACTCAGGAGGCTGAAGCAGGAGAATCAAGGCGAGTTGGAGGCCAGCCTGGGCTACATAGTGAGTTCAAGGCCAGTCTGAACCGCATAATGAGACCCTCAAGGGCCTCAAGGAAAAAACAAACAAAGATCAAAGAAAGACAATTTCGACTGTGGAACAGATATGGAAAGAAGAAGGGACAGGACTGTTCTGTCAAGACTGGCTCCATCAGTAAATCTGGGCAGCAAAATACGATCAATCTGATTGTGATATCACACACCAACACTAATGTATGGCTGCAGTCAGGCCTAAACACCTCCATGAACTCATTTAGTAAAGCAGAGTGGTGGACCAGTGTGTCTTCCATTTTCCTCAGTAATACTTGTCAGCAGTGATTGCTGGTTGAGTAGCTGCAAAAACAAATGAGGATTCCATCCCCTGAAGAATGACCTAACACCTATTTTAGCTACTCATCCTCTGATAAACCAAGAAGTAAATCAAGTCCTGAAGCCAGGCTGCTGACTAATTACCAGAGAAAACAGTAGGCGGTGGCAGGGTAAATGAGAAAGTGGGAGGTACAGTAGAGAATAAAGAGAAAGAACAAATTGGAAAAGGTGGGGCTTGCCAGAAGGGGGCAGGCATAGCACACTCAGTTCCAGGTGTTACATTGTGAGGACATGGGCCTCAGTGTTCTGTATTTCAAGAGAAATTGGAAATCTATAGTTTGTTGTTGTTGTTGTTTTGTTTTATTTTGTTTTGAGACAGGGTGTTGCTATGTAGTTCAGGCTGGCCTTGAACTCACTATGTAGCCCAGGCTGGCCTCCAACTCTTGGAAATCCTCCTGCCTACCCTCCTGAGTGCTGGGATTACAGATGTGCTCCACCATGCCTGGTTTAAATCTTTTAGTTTTTAAATGTTGGCATAATTACAACTTTAAGAAAATACTATTTGGGCAAGGTGGCACATGCCAGGAATCCCAGCACGCTGAGAGGCAGAGGCAGAGGCAGGTAGATTCCAAGTTCAAGCCCAGCCTGGGCAATTTAGTAACTTAGTGACTTAAAAATACAGTTTAAACCTGGTATGATGGCACCTGTCTGTAATCCCAGCCCTTAGAAGGCTGAGGCAGGAGGGTCACCATGAGTTCTAGGTCAGCCTGATCTACACAGTGAGACTCTTCAATTCTCAGTACCAAAACCAAACCAAAACAACAACAAAAAATTGTTTTAGTATGTGGGGTGGTAGGGCATACCTAGTCTTAGCCCTCAGGATGCAGAGGCAGGAAGATCACAAGTTCAAGGACAGCCTGGGCTACCTAGGGAGTCCCTGTCTCAAAACAACAATAACCATCACCACCTTTTTATGTAAAACTTGGTTTGGGGGGGGGTGAGATACACGTTAGTAGCAGGGTACTTCCTTCGTGTGCACAAAGCCCTGGGTCTGATCCACAGCTCAGTAAAAAACTGAAGGAAAAAAAGGGGAGAAAATATTGTGTTAAAGGAAACATCTGTGCACTGAATCAATTTGTGACCTTTGTCCTGGATTGAGCCATTTGTTTCACAGTCCAGGAGTCAAAAGTTCTACCCTGTTGTGACACATTTCACATGCCCCCCAAGATCTTTGTTGGGCTGGGACCCTCCCAGATGCAGTGCCGCTCACACTTGGTGGACTGTCAGCTAAGAGATTTTAAAAGTTTTCTTTTTAAAATCGTTAAGACTCAATATTTAGTTCAGTTAAATATTTACTTAGTCTAGAGACAACAGTAATACTTGAAACTGCTATGCTTCTTTCAGCAACCACTTACTGGGAACTGACCTGCAGTGACAGCTAATCATTTTAGATTTTCTCAGCCTGTTTAAATCCATGTTCCTGTTTTTGTGAAAATTTTAAAATTTCATACCTTCCTTAAACATCATTTGAAATTTCAAAAGCTTTTTAAAAAACTCATTTCAAACAAGCCTTTTATTTTCTCTCCCCCTGCTCTCTCCCTCTCTCTTTAACATTGCTGGGGATTGGACCTAAAGTTTCACACATGCTGGGCACCCACACTACCAGTGAGTGCCACCCCCTGTTTTTTTTTGGGGGGGGGGATTGTTTTGAGAATGGGTCTTACTGTACTGCCCAGGCTGGCCTCAAACTGGGCTCGAGTGATCTTCCATTCTCACCCTCCTGAGCAGCTGGGACTACATATGTGCACCAACACTGGGCTTAAATATACATTTTTAAAATTACATCTTTCCTAAAGAAATTCTGATATATAGCCAGGCATAGTGGTGGACTCCTGTAATCCCACTGTTTTCGGGTAGTTCCTTTGAAACTGGCTCGCCAAACAAAAGTATTCCAGGTCCTTCTTGTCTTGAACAAAGAATTAGTTGAGAAAAGCCAAAAGTCTATTTGAAAAAATGAGGGGTGAAGGGGTAAGGGAAAAACTGGCTCTGTAGAGCAAACTTGGGCCAAACAGAGAAGGAAAAGAGAAAAAGAGAAAAAGTAAAAGTTCACCTTGGGTCTGGGAAACCCAGGATGGGCCATGGTGAGGAGTCAGGATAGTGGGCTACTCCTGACGTCCGGTCTTCTTTGTGCCACCCACATCTCCAGGGAGCCGGGGAGAAGTTTCACATAGGAGGTCCTGAGAATCATTTGGCTTCGCCCAGGGATGTGAAATTGACAGGCTCCGCCCACTTCTCAACCAGTTTTGTTGCCCTATCTTCTATACCATCCGCACTGAGGACAGAGGAGGATCACCAGGAGTTTAAGGCCAGCTTGAACTACATAAGGAGACCCTGTCTCTAGGTAGGTAGGTATAGATAGATAGATAGATGATAGATAGATAGATAGATAGATAGATAGATAGATAGAGATAGATTGATTAACAGTTGCCATACTGTGGCATATTGGAGCCTGAAGCAAAAGGAAAAATGATTGAGTCTGTCTTTTTTAGGGGGGAGTACTGGGGATTGAACCTAGGGTTTTTGTACTGGGCTACATCCCTAGGCTTTTTAAAAAAAAATTGTGATTGAGAGTCTTGATAAATTACTGAATTACTAGGCCGAACTCCAATTTATGATCTGCCTGCCTCAGACTCCTGAAGCGCTGGGATCACAGGCACTTGTCATCACTGGCTTGATTTTTGTTTGTTTGTTTGGTACCAGGAATTGAACTCGGGACCTTGTGCTTGCGAGGCAGGCAGTCCACTGGCTTGATTCTGTTACTATGTATTCGCCGGATATGACACCAGATCTCAAACTTTAGGGAGCATCAGAATCTGTAGTGAACTCACTAAAATTCAGATTCCCAGGCTTTATCACCAGATCCTGATTGAGTAGATCTCAGAGACCTGCTTCTTAAGTAACCCAGTTGATTATGTGATTGGAAGTGGAGGAGCTCTGTGGTCCCTCCTGATCTTGGACTGTAAGTAGAAGGAAAGAGCCCAGAGAGGTTGTAGAGGGCTCACAGAATGGCCCTGTCATTCCTTTGTTCCTTAAGTAGGAATTCACAGAGGGCAAGCATGTACTAGGCACTGGAGATTAAACTAGTGACAAGATAAACATGGGAGTCTACTGGGAGAAATAATTTTTTTAAAATCAAGTGAAAAATCAACTGATAAGAAGTGTTCTGCAGAGAACTGGAGTAATAACGTGTTCTGGTGACTGGAGGTACTTTCCATTTGTTGATTGGGGAAGTCCTTTCTGAGATTTTAACCTGCAATCTGAATTTCCATAAGAGGCCAGCTCTGAGATGATGGGAAAGAGTATTCCAAGCAGAAATAAATGCAGGGCAGCCAGGCGTGGTGACACATGCCTATAATCCCAGCACTTGGGAGGTTGAGGCAGGAGGATCAGAAGTTTGAAGCCAGCCTGGGATGGATAGTGAATTCAAGGCCAGCCTGAGCTACATAGCAGGACTGTGTCTCCAAAAAAAAAATTTTTTAAAAAGAGGAAGAAAGAAAGGCAAGCAAGCTAGGACAAAACCTGAGTTGGACACAAGCTTGTCTTGCTCAGTGACAACTACAAAGAAAGTCAGTGTGGCAGCAAGGAAGTAGGAAAGGGACAAAAGGCTAGGAGGTGAAGTTAGTGAGTTGGACAGGGACCAAGTCTACTAAGGTTTTATAAATTAGCATATTTTTTTTCAGTTCTGGGGATCAAACGTAAGGCCTTCACACTGAGCTACATCCCTAGCACATTTTTTGTTTTAAGACAGGGTCTCACAGGCCAGGGATTTAGCTCAGTGATTCTGCCACCTGCCTTGCAGGCACAAGGTCCCAAGTTTGATCCCCAGTACCAGAAAAAAAAAAAAGGGCTGGGGATTTAGCTCAGTGGTTCTGCTGCGTGCCTCGAAATCTCAAGGACCCGAGTTCAATCCCTGATACCAAAAAAAAAAAAAAAAAGAAGAAGAAGACAGGGTCTCACTAAGTTACCTAGGCTGGGCTTGAACTTTTCAATCCTCCCGCCTTAGCCTCCCAGAGTGTGGGGGTCACAGCTATGCACCACCCTGCCCAGCATAGAAAGGAAATTTTATTTTATTTTGTTTTGGTACCGGGGATGGAACTCGGGTCCTTGCGCTTGCACAGCAGGTGGTGGCACCACTGAGCTAAATCCCTGGCAGGAAATTTTAACCTAAGCTGTTGAGGGAGTTAAGCAGAAAAATGAGAAAATCTGATTTGTAGTATTAAAAGATGACCCACACATGTCAATCAGCAGTAAAATTATGTTATATTTATACTACAGAATGCTATACAGCAATTAAAATAAACTATCTATGACTACACTTACCAGTATGAGTGAATTCCATAAACATGATATTCAGCAAAAGAACCCAAGACAAGCCAGGCCTGGTAGCACATGCCTGTAATCCCAGCACTTGGGAGGCTGAGGCAGGAGAATCACCATGAGCCTGGGCTACATAGTGAGTTCAAGGCTAGCCTGAACTACATATTAAGACCCTGTCTCAAAAACAAAACAAAAAAAGAAGCCAAGACACAAAAAACACATATTTTATGATTGCAATACAGCCCAAACTAGTCTCTGATATTAGAAATCGAGACACTGGTCTCCCTGTTGAGGAAGAGAGTGACAGAGGCTTCTGTGTGACAAGTACTCTTGTGCTCCTCCCTGTGGGTTCTGATTGCATAGATGTATTCACTTTGCGAGATTTGTTGACTTTGATTCATGGGTTCTTCAATAAAAAGTGTACTTCAAAGCTGGGGATTTAGCTCAGTGGTGCCACCACCTGCCTCGAAAGTGCAAGGTCCTGAGTTCGATCCGTGGTACCAAAAAAAAAAAAAAAGTATGGTTCAATAAAAAGTGTATTACTGCAGGAGGTGTACAAATGGCTAAGAAGCCCATAAAAATATGCTCTCCACACTTCGTCAGTAGGGAAGTGCAAGTGTAAAGCCCAATGAGATACCACTTCATGTCCGCGAGGGTGGCTATCATGAAAACAAAACTGGGAAGAACAGTAACAAGAGTTGGCAAATGTGTGGAGAAACTAGCATCTTTGCACATTGCTGGTGGGAATGTACATAAAATGGTTTTCTGTGGAAAACGATTGATTGTTCCTCAAAAAGTTGAACCTAGGGCCGGGGATTTAGCTCAGTGGTTCCGCCACCTGCCTTGAAAGTGCAAGGACCCAAGTTCGATCCCTGGTACCAAAAAAAAAAAAAGTTAAACCTAGACTTGCATTAACCCAGCAATTCTTGAAGAAATCTGCTCAGAAGAATTGCAAACTTGTTGAAACAGATACTCAGGGATGAGTGTTCTTGGAAAGTTGTTCACAGTAAACAAAGGGTGGAAACAACTCCAAAACCATCAGCTAACAAATGGATAAACAAAATGTGGCATCCATACAAGAAAATATTCATGGGTAGAAAGGAATGAAAAACTGATGCAAGCTGCAATCTGAATGAACCTCAAAAGTAACATGCTAGATAGAAGAAGCCAGAACCAAAAGATCTCCTGCAATGGTATTATTCCATTCTATGAAATATCTAGAATAGCTAAATCCAGAGACAGAAAGATTAGTTGTTGTCAGAGGCCCAGCAGAAGGGAAGATAGGAGTGGTTGCTTAGTGGGTGTGGGTTACATTGCAGGATGATAGTGTTCTAAATGCCACTTAATTGTGCACTTTAAGAAAGTTAATTTTATATTGTGTAGATTTTATCTCCATAAAAGAATTTTCCAATTTAAAAAGAAAGTTCATTTAAAAAAATGTAGGGCCAGGGATTTAGCTCAGTGGTTCCGGTGCCTGCCTCGCAAGCACAAGGTCCTGAGTTTGATCCCTGGTACCAAAAAAAAAAATACAAAAGATGTGCTCATGCATGGTGGGTGTATGGCTGTAATCCCAGCATTTAGGAGGCTGAGGCAGGAGGATCATAAATTTGGGGCCACCCTGGACTACAGAGCAAGACCCTATATCAATCAATCAATCAATCAACACCTTTTGTACTACTCTAAGATTTTTTTGTTTTGTTTGATTTTGATTTTTGATACAGAGGCTCACTACATGGTTCAGGCTGACCTTGAACTCACTATGGTAGCGCAGGCTGGCCTCAAAATCATGGCAATCCTCCTGCCTCAGCCTCGAGAGTGATGGGGTTACAGATGTGCATCACCACACCTAGCTTGTGCTACGCTAAAATTTTCACCAGTTTTTATCGAAAATCTCCCCTCTCTACCTCACCAGTTGGTATGCCAGAGCCTCACCTCCTCTGCCCCTCCACAGGGGACCCCCTTCCCATGGAGAGCCGGCTCGTGAACAGCTGTATCCAGGCCAGGAGAAAGTGCCAGGCCGATCCCACGTGCAAGGCTGCCTACCAGAACTTGGGTTCCTGTGCCTCTGGGCTGAGCACCCTGACACCCCCTGGGGAGCCAGCTGCCCGAGAAGATTGCCTAGAGGCAGCACAGCAACTGCGGAACAGCTCCCTGCTGGGGTGCTCCTGCCACCGGCGCATGAAGAACCAAGCTGTCTGCCTGGACATCTATTGGACAGTTCACCGTGCCCGAAGCTTCGGTGAGGGCCCTATCCCAGAGGGACAAGGCTGGGAAGATCACTTTGGGGTTGGTTTTTAATCCTTCAGGATCAGGCTACATGGTAGATTCCGAAGAGAAAGATACTGAAGGTCTGTGTTGTCAGGGAGAGAAGGAGGGAAGAATCCACAGGATCCTTCTGGCCCCTGAATGCTGCCCTCTCACCTCCTTTCATTTTAGCTCCCTCTTGGAGTGCTCAGAACCAGGCAGGGGCCCAACTGGGGAGTTCTGGGAACAGAGGAGGATGGAGAGAAGATGAGGCAAAGTTCCAGGCCAGCATGGACTACATAGTGAATTCAAGGACAGCCCAAATTATATAGGGAGACCTTGTCTCAAAAAACAAAACAAGGGTGGGGGGTGTACCTCAGTGGCACTGTGCCTGCCTGGCAAGCACAAGGTCCTAAGTTTGATCCCTGGTACTGAAAGACAAAACAAAACAAAAAAGTGAGCATATATAATCTTACAGGAAGGGCAAAGACTACTTGGTTTTTTTGGTACCTGGGATTGAACTCAGGATCTTGCACTTTCGAGGCAGGCAGCGGAACCACTGCGCTGAATCCCCAGCCCTTTAAAATAAATCTTTTTTTTTTTTGGTACTGAGAATCGAACTCAGGACGTTGTGCTTGCCAGGCAGGTGGGGGAACCACTGAGCTAAATCCCTGGCCCCTCAGAGTGCTGGGTTGACTGGGGTGCTCCACCACACCTGGCTCCAGCTTTCCTTGTTTGGCTTATGTGAGCTTCAGCAAATAACAGACCCTCTCGTCCCTGGGCTCCTAGATGGAATGAGACTGTGTGTGCTTGTGCATCCTGAACCATACTGCCCACCAGATGGTAGCTTCTATAATTCTTGCCAGTTTACTCTTTGTGCCCCACCTATGTCTTTATGGCTCTGCATTTTTATCCTCTCTGCACAGCTCGAAGCTAAGTAGGCAAAGGTAGTGCCTCTTCCTTTGCTGCACCCAGCAATCTCAGCCTCTCTGCTCTGCCCACCCTGGTCCTCAACATTCTGTACCCCCTGCCTTGTTTCTAGGTGACTATGAGCTGGATGTCTCCCCGTACGAAGACACAGTGACCAGCAAACCCTGGAGAATGAACCTCAGCAAATTGAACATGCTCAGACCAGGTGCAGGGGGCAGAGGAGGGTGGCCGGGGAGTGCAGGGTGGGGCCTATGAGGAGACCGTCCTGCCTGCCAGGGACACAGCACTGAGTCAGGTGGCTGGCCAGGCGTGTCCATGTCTGCTCTCCCAGGAGTCATTGGAAAGCAACAGTTATTAGGGGAGCATTTGAAGAGAGCCCATTAGGGCTCCGGATCCCCACAAGTACAGAAAAATGTACTGAAATGGAGAATTAATGTGCAGTCAAGGCAGCCAGGAAAGTAGTTTTTGTTTTTTTGTCCCTAAAGACTAGAAAATTGCTTGTTTTCAACCGTTCAAATGGAATGGGTGAGGTGTTGGGCGGAGTAAATAGTGAGAGTGTGACTCGGGGTGGGGAGCCATCCAGCTGGCAAGAACTTTGATGCATATTTTTTTTTTTTTGAAAGTAGGGCAGTGAGTTAATTGAGAAAGCAACACACACAATTTTTTTGAGAAATACGTGAGTTTCATTGTATAGTCAATTTTATATATTAGAATTAGATGGGGCCGGGGATTTAGCTCAGTGGCACCGCACCTGGCTGGCAAGTGCAAGGTCCTGAGTTCAATCCCTGGTAGCAAAAAAAAAAAAAAAAAAAAGAATTAGAACTTTTAGGAAAGAACACATTTAGCTGGGTGTAGTGGCGTCCACCTGTAATCCCAGCACTTGGGAGGCTGAGGCAGGAGGATCAAGGAAAGTTCAAGTCCGGCCTGGGCTACATAGTTCAAGGCCAGCCAGAACTACAGAGTGAGACCCTGTCTCAAAAAACCAAAAAACCCCCAAAAAACAAACAAACAAACAAAAAACAGTTGAAGAATAGGATCAGCAAGGCTTCACAGTACCACCTATAGTTTGTGGGTGGAGGGAAAGCCCTGGATTAGATGCAGCCTTATTCAAGACAGCCTTCCCTTTCCTCCTACTCCCCTCTGCCCTTGTCCAGTCAGGGCTTCGCCAGGCCTTCTAGGAAGCCTGAGCTGCAGCTGTCTGGAGAGGACGGGCCTGGTGACTCAGTGTCCCTCTCCCCACAGACTCAGACGCCTGCTTCAAGTTCGCGATGCTGTGCATCCTCAATGACAAGTGTGACCGTCTGCGCAGGGCCTATGGGGAGGCGTGCTCTGGGAGCCACTGCCAGCGCCACGTCTGCCTGGAGCAGCTGCGTGCCTTCTTTGAGAAGGCAGAGGAGCCCCTCGTGCAGGGCCTGCTGCTGTGCCCCTGTGCGCCCGCTGACCACGGCTGTGGGGAGCGCAGGCGCAACACCATCGCCCCCAGCTGCGCGCTACCCTCGCTGGAGCCCAACTGCCTAGATCTGCATCGCCTCTGCGTTGGCGACCCGCTGTGCAGGTGCTCGGTGCAGGCCCACAGGGTGGCAAGGGAGCGACATGTGCCCCTCCGGCCACTATCTTCATGGTTTGGGTCTAACCCTCAGGGATCTGTGAACCCACCAGTTGCTTCGCCTTGGATATTTTGTAAAATTAAAAAAAAAAAAGAATATGCATTTTGGGCGGGCCTGGTGCCACACAGATCTGTAATTCCAGCACTGTGGTTGCTGAGGCAGGAAGATCTCAAATTCGAGGCCAGCCTGGGCAGCTTGGCCATTTAGCAAGACCTTGTCTCAGAATAGAATAGAATAGAATAGAATAGAATAGAATAGAATAGAATAGAATTAAAAAAATAGGGATGGGGAGGTAGCTCAGTGCAAAGGTCAAGTACTTTCCTTCAGCCCCCTCCAAAGTAAAGATAAAATTTCAGCCAGGTGTGGTGATGGATGCCTGTGATCCCAGCACTCAGGAGGCTGAGGCAGGAGAACTCCCACAAGTTGGAGGCCAGCCTGGGCTACATAGTTCAAGACCAGCCTAAACCAGAGACTATGACTCAAAAAAGAAACATACAGGGCCGAGGATTTAGCTCAGTGGTTCTGCCATCTGCCTCAAAAGCAGAAGGTCCCAAGTTCCATCCTCGGTACCAAAAAAACCCCCAAAGAAACATACAAAATCTTTCAGAAAATCTAAAAATGTATCAAAATATCACCCAACACTTCCTTACCTGGAGATAATTGACCATATTTTGCTGAGCATTTCCTTCTAGTCATTTTTCTATTCAGACAACAAAAGTAGATATTCTGGGGACATATTTGTATCTTGAGTTTTTTCATTTTTCAATTCGGCATAGTGGTAAGACAGGTTTTTAAATGTGTTAGCTTTCTGCTGCTGTGACAAAACACCTGACATGAACAACTTAAAGGAGGAACAGTCTATTCAGTCATGGTTAGCTGACTCCATTGCTTGCATTTATTTATTTATTTATTTATTTATGAGTTTTTGAGATAGGGTCTCACTATGTAGTTGAAGGTGGCCTCAAACTCACAGTAATCCTCCTACCTCAGCCTCCCAAGTGCTAGAACTACAGGTGTGTGCCAATATTCCCAGGTTCCATTGCTTTCAGGCTTGTGGTGAGGCAGAAACATCATGGTGGAAGGATGTGGGAGTGAGAAGCTGCTCATCTCATTGCAGCCAGAAAGCAAAGGGGATGAGAGAACCCCAAAGAGGACGCTGGGGACTGGGATTCACTCGCTTCAAGTTGGCCCGAGTTCCTGTTTCTGTCACCTCCTAATAATACCATGGAACTAAGAGCTCATCAGGATGAAATCAGAGCTCTCATAATCCAGTCTCTTCCCAAAGCCCATCAGGAACTAAGCCTTCAGCACAATGAGCTGGGGGGTGGGGGGGTGGGGGTGGATGGATTTTGGATCCCAGGCACAATATGAAGTCAAATGGATGTGGATTGAAATCCTGAGTCTGTGTATTGTTGAGCACATTGCTTAACCTAAATTTCTATCAGTTAACCTAGGGTTCTGTTTAGTTCTCTGCAAAAACTAGGATAATACAGACACCTGGGATTCTGGGGAGAATTAAATTACTTGTGTAGATTGCTTAGCTTACTGGGGCAGAGTAAGTGCTCAATAAATAGTGGTGCTTATTTTGTAATTTATTGTCCTTTAAGAACTTGTTTTTTCCTGGGCACAGTGGCACATCCCCGTAATCCCAGCTACATGCTTGATTTGTATTTTATTTTCTATTTTTTGTAGGGCTGGGGATCAAACCCAGGGCCTCATACATGCTAGACAGGTACTATACCACTGAGCTATACCCCAACCCCAAGATTGTGTTGTTGTTGTTTTTTAAGACAGGGTCTCACTATATAGTTCAGGCTGGCCTTAAACTCATATGTAGCCAAATGCTGGGATCAGACTCATGGTGATCCTCCTGCCTCAGCCTCCTAAGTGCTGGGATTATAGGTATATGCCATCAGATTTTGACTTTTTTTTTCTTTTTTCTTTTTTTTTTCAGATTTTGACTTTTAAATGCCTGCATCGTGTTCCACTAATGGATGCCCCATCCTTTATTTAATCATCGTAATATTGGTTGTTTTTTTATTGCTATAAATAATGTTGCAATAAATACCACTCTTTTTTTGTTTGTTTGTTTGTTTTTGTTGTTGTTGTTGTTTGGTACCAGGGATCGAACTCAGGTCCTTGCGCTTGCAAGGCAAGCGACGGAACCACTGAGCTAAATCCCTGGCCCAATATCACTCTTATTCCTTTTCATTTTTTTCCCCAGTACTAGGGATTGAATCCAAGAAATGTCTTGCCATTTACTTATTTATTTATTATTTTTGGTCTTTTTTTTTTTTTTTTTTTTTTTTCTGGTACCAGAGATTGAGCGCAGGACCTTGTGCTTGCCAGGCAGGCACAGCACTACTGAGCTATATCTCAGACCCTTATTTTCGGTCTTTTGAGACAGGGTCTTGCTATGTAGTCCAGCTGGCCTTGAACTCACTATGTAGTCAAGGCTGGCCTCTAATTCACAGTAATCTTCCTGCCTCAGCCTCCTGAGCAGTAGGATTACAGGGATATACTGCCATGCCTGGTTGCCATGGCCTGCTTGGAAAGGGTCCAAGGTCTGAGTAGGGCATTGGAAGATGCAGAAAACGAAAGAGAAAGCGGGTCTGGGTGGGGCCTCCCCACCTGTTGAGAGGAGAAGACCACCACAGTCTGCATGTCACTTTACTTAAGGCATAAAGAGGGGAAGTACAAACAAGGAGATGGGGCAGGGTGTCCTTGGTAATTTGTTGTTCTAATAAATTCCGAGTCTAGCTGACTGATAAGGCTGGTGGGAACAGGGACATGCAAGCTTGCTGTTCCTAGGACCATGTCAACTAGGACTATAATAAACAGAATACAAGGAACATTTCCCTGCACTCTGGGCTATTTTGGTGGGGTAAATTGGGGCACAAAGGGAGGGAAGTCATGAAGTGCAGGAGGCAGGCAAGACACCTCCTGATTGTTGTGGCTCCCAACATCTGGTCCTCTCTATTTTATAGTCAAGGAAACAGGTGAAAGGAGCTGCCCGGCCATGGCCTAACTGGGGATTGTGGAGCCCAGATGCAGAGTGATGTGTGCAGGGTGGTGCTGACAGTACATTTGATTGTGATGGACCAGCTCACCGAGGTGGAGGCCCTGGGCAGGGTGCTCAAGGCCGAGGAGGAATTTGCCTGAAGATGGACAGAGAGGGTGAAGCTGCAGGCCACACCCTCATTGGGGACTCTTGAAATTTCTGTTCTCCCAGATCTCGACTGGCAGACTTCCAGACCCACTGCCACCCCAGGGACATCCTGGGGACTTGTGGAACAGAGCAGTTCCGATGTCTGCATTCATACCTGGGGATGATCGGTGAGGCTCTTGTGCACAGAGGCCTGAGGAGGAGAGTGTGGTGCAGACTGAGCCTGGGTGCTGTGGTCCCGAGAGGGCTAGGCTGGGTGGGAGCTGAAGTCTGCTTAGACCTTGGCAGCCCCTTCTCTCCACCCACAGGCACTGCCATGACCCCCAACTTCCTCAGCAACGTCAACACAAGTGTGGCCTTGAGCTGCACCTGCCGAGGCAGTGGCAACCTGCAGGAGGAGTGTGAGCAGCTGCAGAGGTCCTTCTCCAGCAACACCTGCCTTGGTGCGTGCACAGCTCCTGGTCCTGCCCATGGCCAGCCAGGGGCACTGGGTCAGCGGGAGGGTGAGGAGGGGCTGACTATGGCCAATGGGGCCACCCATCTCCTTCAGACCAAGCAGCCCTTTTCTTGGCATGGGCTTCCAGCTTCCTGGCTCTGGGCTTTCTTCCTCTTCTGCTCCCTGAGTGATTCCCCCCCTCCCCCAGGCTGCCTGTTCAACCTGTCTGGGCTCAGGGACAGCTCCAGCTTGAGGATCAAGCAAGCAGAAGGAGGCAGTATTTTCTTTCCAACTCCCACCTACCTGCTCCTTTACACTCCCACAGCATCCCCTTTTCCTGTCTTGGGAGTCCTAGAAATCCCCTGATGAGCAGATGTGGTGGTACATGCCTGTGATCCCAGCACCTGGAGGCTGAGGCAGGAGGATCACTGCAAGTTCGAGGCCAGCCTGGGCTACACAGTGAGTTCAAGGCCAGCCAGAACTTCATAGTGATACCCTGTCTCCAGGAAAAAAAAAGAAAATAAATCTCTTGGTACCATACCCTTCCAATCTGTCTTTTGCTCTCTGTTCAGAGAGGGCCATTGCAGCTAAGATGCGTGTCCACAAGCAGCTCTTCTTTCCGGACCTGGTAGCCTCTGTCTCTCCTGTAATGGAGCAGCAGGTAGGACCTCCTTTCTTACTGGGTCAGCTAGAGAAACCCCAACCAAGCAGGCAAGGGATGGGGTGAGTAGGGGATCACTTCCTGTTTCTACAAATACTAGAGGTGGCTAAGGGACCCCCGCCAGGGGAAGAGGCCAGTCTTGCCTGAGGCTGAAGTGGTGATGGGCCGGGGATTTAGCTCAGTGGTTCCTCCGGCTGCCTTGCAAGCAGTAAGGACCTGAGTTTGATCCCTGGTACCAAAAAAAAAAAAAAAAAGCTGAAGTGGTGAAGAGGGGAGATGGTTTTCTAAGCTGAGTGTTCCATTTCTTTCACAGAATAAGAACCTTGCTCTGAGGCCACAGCCCTGGGTGCCCTTTCTTTTCTCCTGCACACTTCCCTTGATTCTATGCTGTAGCCTCTGGTAGCCGAACTTCCCTGGGGACCTCTTTCCCCTCTTCAGCACCCAGCCTGGCTTGTAGCCTTTGAGGGGTACGAAGAGGATAGCATCTGGAAGGTGCATACACAACATGGCCATCCTGACCCCACCTGGCACCCTGTCCTGCACATCTGGTCCGGTCCAGATGAGGCTGTCGTAGCAGCTGTGGGATGGGACCTCCAGATCTTGACCAGCTGGTTCTCCTTCCCTCCGCCCTTACCTCTGCTTCTGATTCAGGCTTCTCCTCAGGACTTGGGGACCACCGTTTGACTGTATCTTCTGAGGGTGACCAGCTCCACCAAGCTCTCTCCTTATGCCTCCCTCTGGCCCACCAGGATCTCCCAAGTCTAACACATCAGTCATTCTCTGTTGCAGTCTCTAGGCTGGCAGGGCTGGGAGTTATAAGGCAGCCTAGTAAGACTTTCCCTTGAAACAAAGCTTTTGTAAATAAGGATGGGAAGAGGAGTCAAGGGGGGTGGGGTGGGAAGACAAGAAGCAAGATATATCATGTACAGGTACAAATTCCCTAGATGAATGTGATCATTATGTGTATCTAAAATGTACCAATAAATGTTTTGCTTCCCCCAAAAAAGACTTTCCTTCGTGCCCCTGCCCCCTCCTGTGAATGGAGGCTGGGAACCCACACCTCTGCGGCTCTGCCAGAGTCCTGGAGGTCGTTTGGGCATCGGGAGAGAAGTCTTTGGGCCTTGCTATATTTCTACTTCTGTCCCAAATTTGCCCTGAGTTCTTGGATCATAAACATTTTGACCTAAGGCTCTGCTCTTTTTCCATTTTCTCAGATTGTGAATTTTTGCAGAGTTAGGGGTGTTACAGACACCAGGGCAAAGTCAGGTGTTTAGGAGACATAGCCGCCCTACCACCAACTGCTATATGGCTTCACAAAAGTCTCCCCACCTCTCTGTGTTTTATGTGGATTTGGAGGAAAGAATTGCATCAATGAGCCCATAGGCCTGGTATCCATCTAGCTCTGGCAGTCTCTGGGATGCTGCCTTCGATCTTCCAAGGCAGTGAGAGGGGGCTCTTAGTCAACCACAGCATTTTCAGAGCACCTGTTTGTGCTATTGATCTGCTCCAGATCATAATGGGGCCAGAGGAAAGCAGAGACTGGTCCTCACTCTCAGGGAATTTGGAACCCTATTAAATAATGAAAACACCCATCCAGGCAAAGTAGTTGGAAGAATATATTTATAGATGTTAGGTGTGCTGGCATGTACCTTCAATCCCAGCTTTTGGGAGGCTCAGTCAGGAGGACTGCAAGTTTGAGGCCAGCCTAGGCAATTTAGCAAGACCTTGTCTCAAAATAAAATTTTAAAAAGGGCTGGGCGTGGTGGCACACGCCTGTGATCCCAGCACTTGGGATGCTGAGGCAGGAGGATTGCCCTGAGTTTGAGGCCAGTCTGGGCTACATAGGGAGTTCAAGGCCAGCCTGAAAGACACAGCGAGACCCTGTCTCTAAAATAAAATACAATTTAAAATAAATAAATAAATAAAAATGGGCTAGGGATATAGCCAAGTGGTAAAGCCTGTTCCTAGCATGAGCTAGGCCCTAGATTCAAAATACATTGCTGAGGGGTGGAGATTTAGCTCAGTGGCACCATGACTGCCTCGAAAGTGCAAGGTCCTGATTTCGATCCCTGGTACTGCAGGAAAAAAAAAAGCAGTGCTGAAAAACAAAGAATGCATGGGCAGAGCTGTGGGTGTTTGTCTATTAATTCATCCCCTCTATAAATGAGCATCTGTTGAGTGCTGAGTGCAGAAGGTTCTGAGGTTATAAGACTCATATCCCAATCTCAAATCTTTCACACCTCAGTGCTGGGAAACAGACAAGACAGTCGATAAAAGCAGTACCATGTGATAAATGCTACGCAATAATTATAAGAACACCCTTCATTCATTTAGCCTCGATGGTGAGCTGAGTGCTCCTCGAATCTACTCTTTGCAAGTACACACAATCTTCCACCAACACCTGATCATCAGTCACAAGCCATGAGGCAACGCAGAGCCCTGGACTGCTCAGGTCCTCCAGTGAGGGTAGGAAGGAAGTGGTCCCGGTGTCCCCTGGAGCTTTCCGGGAGGCTGGAGCTGGGTGTGACACACATCACCAGGACGCATGCGCGGTAGAGGTGCATCTGCCCCACCCGCCTCTGCCGCAGCTACTGTACAGCGTCCTGTTCCCAGTCGCTTCCCTCATTGCCTTTGACCAGGCTCAGAGTAAAATAGGAAGTGCTGCTTTTCGGTATGGTTTGACCCTAAGGAGACTCAGGTTGGGGATTGATCCCCACCAGGAGGTTTTTAAAGGCTGAAAATTTAATTCCGCTTTGGTGTTTACAAATTTGGTCTTTGAGCTGGGCATGGTAGTGCATTGTAATCCCAGCGCTAGGCAGGCTGAGGCAGGAGAGTTGTGAGTTTGTTTGAGGCCAGCCTGGACTATGTAGCGAGTTCGAGGGTGGTGTGGACTACATAGCAGGATCCTGTCTCAAAATAATAAAAAGGAGCAGGAGGAGTAGGAAGAAGAGAGGGGGAGGAAGGGGAGGAAGAGGAGGAGGAGGAGTCGTCGTCGTCGTCGTCGTCGTCGTCAGGGGCTCTGCGTTGGCCTTGGCTTCATTAGCCTGGGGCTGGGGTGTGAACGGTACAGTAGTCCTCGCTAAGTGCTTGAATGAGACTAATAGTCCTCTGCTCTGTCTCTGAAGAAGGTCCTGATTCCTGGTAAGCCACTAGACCCGCTCCCAACCCAGGCTAAGAGCCAAGAGCGGGGGGGGGGGGGGGGAGCCCACAGTGGCTGGGCGAGGGCTGTTAATATTCTCCTGGCTGGGTGGGGAGGTTAATGCTGGCTCACTATTGGGCCACCTTCTGGGGAATCAGGCAGGAAGGGCCCGCAGCCCTGAAGAATGCTCAATTATAGGGCTGGGGATTTAGCTCAGTGGTTCTGCTGCCTGCCTCAAAAATGCAAGGTCCCAAGTTCGATCCCCGGTACAAAAAAAAAAGGCAAGCTTAATTACAGTTTGGGTGAAGCAGACTGGTTTTTAAATAACTATCTCCAAATTCAACCATTCAGTCATTCATTTATTCAGCAAACCTTTAACAAGCATTTACCCTCTACCCGTCCTTCAGCATTTTCAGAAAAAACAAAATCTGTTCCCTGCCCATTTGTTAGCAACCATGTCATTTAATAAACCACCCAAGAAACAGCCCAGGGTTCTGGCAACTGGACCCTAAGTTTGAGTAGCAGGAACTCTTTAGTTACCCTGGTGGATTTTTCATTTTAGTTTTTTGAGACAGTATCTCACTATGAAGTTCAGGCTGGCTTTGAACTCACAGCAGTCTTCCTGTCTCAGCCTCCTGAGTGCTAGGATTACAGGTGTGTGCCCCAATGCCTGGGTTAAACCCTGCTATTTTATAGTTCACCCCTCTGAGCCAGTTTTCTACAGTAGAGATGCCAATAGGATACATGACTGAGAGGGTTACAGTTTTTGTTTTGCAGTTTTGTTTTTAACAAATCCAGTATCAGCAATTTCATTTCAGCCAAAAAAAAAAACCACCTAATTGGCAATGTCAAATGATTGTATATCAATTTTACTTGTTTTTGTTGGCAAGTTTTTGGCTTCCTTTTTTTTTTGTACCAGGATTGAACTCAGGACCTTGGGCTTGTGAGGCAGGCACGGCACCACTGAGCTAAATCCCCAGCCCTTGGCTTCCTATTTCTATAAATGGTTATAAGCTCAAGTCATTTCTACTTGTTTTGATTTCTACTTATATTTAATTTAGATAGTAGTTAAAATATTTAAAAGCAAGTCACAGTCATTTTGAGGACTGGATATTATTATAAGACTTAACATGGCACCTGATACAGGATGAACAGTCAGTAGATAGTAGCTGTCATTATTATTTCTGAGAGGACATCTTCAGGTATCACACATTCTGTTCTCTGTCCTGGAACAATGTAAGGTGACAGTGCCAACTCCCTCTCTAGTTGTGGGCTGAATTCCAGGTGGATCACTGGGCATGGTGGTGCATGTCTATAATCCTAGCACTGGAGAAGCTGAGGCAGGAGGATCACTGTGAGTTCGAGGCCAGCCTGGGCTACATAGTGAGGTCAGGGCCAGTCTGGACTACATAGAGAGACCCTGTCTCAAAACAAAACGAAACAAACCCTCAAAAAACAACAAAACAAAAAAAAAGAATCCTAGGTGGAACAGCTGTAGAACTTTTTTCCGTACAAAGCTGGGAGACTTGTTATTCACGATCTGAACTCCAGGATGGAGGTCAGACTCTGGCTCTTATAGCACAGACCCTGAGGGACTTTGGCCAGTCTTGAAGGCAGAGAACATTAGCACAGTGGTCTTCTGAATGCAAGTAGCAGAAACGTTACTTTGTAAAAGGACCCCAACTATCATGCAACCCCACCCACCCAGGAAGTACAGCCCAGCCTGAAGGAAGCCAGGCTTGGGGAGTCAGGAGCTAAAGTGTTGAGGGCCCCACCTTAGGCCAGTTGCTCCTTCCCCTCTACATCTGCAGCCCCAGGACCTCCCCTCTTCATCTCAATTCCAAGTTCACAGAGGCAGGAGATCTGGTTATCTGAGCTCAGGTCCTGGGTTGGTTCTTCTGGGTCAAGGACACATCCCTGGCCTACTGATGGGGTAAAAGAGACAGCTGCACAACCACTGAAGTCATCACAGGCGGTGGGTCAGAAGGACCTTCAAAAGCATGGACTCTTGTCAGGAAATGGGGGTGAGTCTTGACCACCACCTGAAGTCTGGTTTTGCTTTTCCTGCGGATTCCTCCCCCGCCCAGAGGACCCTCTCTGGGTTTCCTCTTGGGCTCTGGGTCTGAGAACCGCCCTGGGAGCTCCATTTGAGTGGAGCCAGGGTTCATTTTGTGATTCTGGGGCTTAACCCCAAGGCTGTAGGCATGCTAGGAAAGTGCTGTACCACTGAGCCACATCCTCGCCAGAATGGAGGTGTTTATGGCTGCAAAAGGAGGCTTTACTGCTGCAGGGCCGCTAGATTTCTGGTCCTGGCAGTTGCAAAGTAACACAAGGTGAAAGGGGTCAGAATAGGGCCCCCTCAAATATACCAGTATGACATTAGGATTTTGAGCTGAAGGCAACTGAGAATCAGCAGAAACAAAAAGAGTTTTCTGGGCTGGGGATTTAGCTCAGTGGTTTCACCGCCTGCTGCGGAAGTAGGACCTGAGCTCAATCCCTGGTACCAAAAAAAAAAGTTTTCTGTCCTCCCTTATCTACCTGAAAGCTGGGCATTAATTTGCCCTGGAGGAAGGTGCCCTCCCTGTATCAGAGAGAGAAAAATGTCCTTCGTTTTGTTTTTGTTTTGCTGTGTTGTTTAGGCTGGCCTTGAATATCTGGATTCAAGCAGTGCTCCTGCCTCAGCTTCCCGAAGGGCTGGGACTACAGGTGCACATCACCATGTGCAGGGAAAAGTGACTCTTATCATCGGAAATGAGGTGCTGACATCCAGACGAGTTGCATAGACAGACTCTCTCATCTGGCACTTATCATCCACTGGTTCTTCAGTATCTTTCCTAGTCACTTCACCAATTATTATCCCTTGGTGCTCAAATCCTCTTTCTTTTGCTGAAAGGGTATATAAGCCCCAAAGTCTGTCTCTTTGCATTTCATACTTTTCCTATAAACTCCAGTGTATATCAGTATTAATAAAAATGGTGTGCTTTTTCTCCTGTTAATTTACCTTTTGTTAGTTTACTTTGTAAGCCTCCAG